CATCCTTATTTTAGCATGTATCAGGACTTCAGTTCTCCTTATGACTGAGTGACATTCCATTGTATGTACACATCACATTTTGTTTATCCATTCATCTGTTGATAGACATTTAAGTTGTTTCCACTTTTGACTATCATGAAAAGTGATGCAATAAACACTAGTGTACTCAGTGATCTTTTAATGTAAGTCAGATCATGTCACTGTTCTGCTCTAATTAAAACCTTTAGTGATTTTCCAAAGGAGCCTTGGTGACACAATGGTTAAGCACTTGGGCTGCTAACCAAAAGCTATGCAGTTCAAACCCACCAGTGACTCCAGAGAAGAAAAGACCTGGTGATCTGCTGCCATAACAAGTACAGCCTAGAAAACCTATGGAGCAATTCTGCTCTGTCCTATAGGGTTGCTGTGTGTCAGAATCAACTCAACAGCATACAACAACAACAACAGTGGTTTTCCATTGTACTGAGAATGACATCTTAACACCTTCTGGGGGAACTTAAGGTACTCCATGACCTGGCCCTTTCCACTTCTCCAACCTTATCTTCTACAACTCTCTTCTCCTTACTCACTTCAGTCCAGCTGTAGCTGGAGACCTCATTTCTCTTTTCTTTTCCTTCACTCCATCAACCTATTTCCTGCCTCAGAGACATTGTGCCTGCTATTCCCCTGGTCTGAAATGCTCCTCCCTTGGCCCTTCACTGGTGATCTTTCTTTCTTCCTTCAGGATTGAGCAATAATGCCAACCTAGGTGTGAGCTCCCAGTGGCCATCCTAGCTATGTTTGAAGACAATCACTGCTGGGAGGTAGAGGAAAAGAGAGAGAGAACAGAAGAGAGAGAACTGATGACATTTATAAACCCCTGGATTCAGCCATGCCTTAAGGGCATAGGGTGTCATCATTCAACCTCCTCCAACTTCACAAGGGGAAGACAGAATCACCATCAACAGCATCAGCCCAAGGCTGATTCCTATGAGGCAGAAGTCAGACATACTACCACTCTCCAACTTTTTTGCCAATTCTGACACCAACCCTCTCCGTATGGTACTCTCTACTTCTCTGCTGGGTTCAATAATTATTTGCAATGGCTGCAGAGGACTCATAGACAAGACTCACGATCATGATGTTTATTCGTGAAGCAATACGTTAGAATTCAGGTTCAGAAACTATCAAGATACAATTCTTCGATCAGGACAGCCTCTCCTTAGCCTTTTCTCTCTCAGGCATGTCTTTCTTTGATCCTCGACTTCTCAGCCTGGCCTCTGCCTGCTCAGGCAAGTGTTACAAAGCTCTTTGAGCTCTGCCAATCAGTGCACCCCACTCCACCACCAGCAAGACACTCAGCTTTCTTGCTTCATAGGCTGGCAAGCTGGCTGCTCTCACTCATACTGATCTCTTGGTTCTGTTGGTCCTGCTGCTTATGCTGCTGCCATCTCTCTTTCATCTCTTTGCCAAGGAGGTCTAGCATAGGAATCTTGGGTCCAAAGAGTGCTCCACTCCTGGTTCTTCTTCTGTCTTGATGGTAGTGGGGATGACTCATTTTAAGCCTTATGAGATGGCAAAACTGACCAATCTCCGTGTTAGAGTTTCATACACCTTTTTTTGCATAGTCCCACTCCCACAGGGAGCTCTAGTAGCATAGTGCCTAAGGTACCTGACTATTAACCAGAAGGCTGGTGGTTCAAACCCATCAGCCACTCCTCCGAAGGAAGATGGGGCAATCTACTTCCGTAGTGATACTGCCTCAGAAACCCAAGGAGGGGTCGCTATCAGTCGGGTTCAACTCGACGGCACATACCAACCAACCAACCAACACTCCCACAGGGGTGATATGTACCTTATTTACATTATTAGCAAGCTATCCAATCCTATTGGTGGGCCACAAACACCTTGCATTTGCACAGTTCCACATAGTCATCTGGTGAGAGTCCAAAGAGAATGGCTAGAAGAGCCCTATTAAGTAATTCACTGCACAACACGCATCCATTTAAATTTCTAGCACATAAAGCAATAACATTCCTCTTTCTACTTTTGCTGCTTTGAATGAGGTGTCTGCCACCTGCCATGAGAAGCACCCTGATTAATGCTCCATGCACTCCCTCCAGCCTGTGTATAGCAAGGGTGGAAAACAGGTCTCTTTCAGTACTGAATTAAAGGTGCTTTTTCAGAATCCTCTTGTAAGTTCCCTCAAGGAAGGAACAGATTCATTGGCAGAGCTGCCAGACTCTCATTCCCATGTCTTCACTAAATATCTTTCTTGGCACCTTGCCCCATCATCATCTTTTTTTCTTTCTTCTTCTTTCTCTTACTATTCTTTGTCCTAAATATACTTGATATATGAATATGCCTATACATGTAAATTATTTTTATAAAATTAGGGACATGCCATCTTAAAACCTGCTTTTTCATTTCAAAATACATTACGAATATTTTCCTATATGATTTGTTACCTTTTTGTATCATTATTTAAATTTCTGCATAGTAATCTAGGAATGGATAATCAGTAACATAATCAGTAATCTATTATGGAAAACGCATAGTGTTTACAATTTTCAAATAATACTGTTCCGCCACCACAGTCAGAATAAAGAACTTGTTCAATCACCCTCATAACACTATTTCATGCTAGCTCTTTATAATCACACCTCCCCCTCACCTTTAAGCTCCAGCAACCACTATTCTGTTCTCCTTCACTATAATTTTGTCTTCCTGAGAATGTCATATAAATGGAATCATAAGGCATGTAACCTTTTGAGACTGACCTCTTTCACTTAGCATGATGCATTTGTGTGTATATTCATAGTTGTTTCTTTTCATTGCTTAATAGTATTCCATTGTACAGACGTGCCACACTTTATCCATTTACTCATTGAAGGACTTTTGGTTGTTTCCACTTTTTGGTAATTATGGATAGATTCGTTGTAAGACATTTGTGTACAAGTTTTTGTGTGGGTATAACCTCAATTGTGGGATTGCTATATTATATGGCTAGTTATATTTAACTTTGTAAGAAATTGTCAGATAGTTTTTCAGAGTGACTGCACCATTTTGCACTTCTACCAGCGATCTATGAGCATTCCAGTTGCTTCATAGCCTCTCCAGCACTTTACTGTATATGCCATTCTAATAGGTGTATGGGAGCTCTGGTAGCATAGTGGCTAAGACACTTGCCTGCTAACCAGAGGGCTGGCGGTTCAAACCC